ACCTAGCTGGCTTTTCTGAGGTGAAACTAGAACTCACAATCTCCTGGTGATTGACTCAAAGTCACCTAGCTGGCTTTTCTGAGGTGAAACTAGAACTCACAATCTCCTGGTGATTGACTCAAAGTCACCTAGCTGGCTTTTCTGAGGTGAAACTAGAATTCACCATCTCCTGGTGATTGGCCCTAAGTCACCTAGCTTGCTTTTCTGAGGTGAAACTAGAACTCACAATCTCCTGGTGATTGACTCAAAGTCACCTAGCTGGCTTTTCTGAGGTGAAACTAGAACTCACCGTCTCCTGGTGATTGGCCCAAAGTCACCTAGTTGGCTTTTCTAAGGTGAAACTAGAACTTCCCATCTCCTGGTGATTGACTCAGTCACCTAGCTCGCTTTTCTGAGGTGAAACTAGAACTCACCATCTCCTGGTGATGGGTTCAAAGTCACCTAGCTGCCTTTTCTAGAGTGAAACTAGAACTCACTATTTCCTGATGATTGGCCCAAAGTCACCAAGCTGGTTTTCATGCCCACAATGGGACTAGAACTTACCGTCTCCTGGTGATTGGCCCAAAATCACCTAGCTGGCTTTTCTAGGGAGAAACTAGAACTCCCCATCTCCTAGTGATTGACTCAAAGCCACGTAGTTGGCTTTCCTGCGTAAGGCGGGACTAGAATTCCCAGTCTCCTGGTGATTGGCCCAAAGTCACCCAATCCGCTTTCATGCCCAAGGCACAACTAGAACTCACCGTCTCCCGCTTTCCAGCCTGCTGCTTTAACCACTCTCAGACCAAAAATGGACTCCGTTGAATAGAATCAGCAAATGGAGTGGGGCCGGTGTAGGGCATTCTGGGAGTTGTAGTCCCCAACTCTTAAAAAGTCGCCGGGATTGAGGGGGGGGGGAAAGGGTTGCTTTTAGCGGGAAAGAGAGATTTCGAAGCAGGCGCCGGGAAGGGGGGGTGTGGACTTCAAGGCGCCGCTTTGTCTCCCCCTCAGATCCGCATCGATAAGCTGGTGGACAAGTGGTCAGGCTCCATTGAGATCGGGGTCACCACCCACAACCCCAACAACCTGGAGTATCCGGCCACCATGACGAACCTGCGTTCAGGTGACTCCCCGACCCGTGCGTATCCAAAGGCGGGGGAGAGAGNGGGGGGGGGAGTTATCTTGAGGATGAAAACCCCCTCCCCCTCTGCAAGGGGAAAACAGCCGGGGGGGGGGGAGCTCTGAAGGAGGGGGCTGCAGGAGCAGAGCCAGGAAGGAGAGGGAGGGGGTCTCCCAAATAAGACCAAAATCAGGATGAACATGCTCTGGGAGGGGGGAAGACCCTCAAAAAGGGGGGGGGCAAAGGAACAGAACTAGGAGGAGGGGAACCCCATACGAAGGCCAATAGTGAGGCTCATAGAGGAGGGGGCTGCGGGAGGAGGGCAGGGTTCCCCAAATGAAGGACGAACCAATGGTTTGGGGGGGGGGTGTCTTGGGGATGGAAGTGGGCAGAGCCTCGGGTCAGAGGGGAGGGGTGCCCAAAATAAGGAAGCAGAGGAGTCTGTTGTGCAAAATGGGGAGGAAGTGTTGGATGCCCCCCCCAAAAAGAGACCGCTAGAGATGCCCCCATTCAGGAAACACTTCCAGGACCCCTGGCTGGCTTTCCGAGACCCCGAGACTTTCAGAAATGTTGATTCCCCCCTCCCCGAACTCTTATCACCCCTGTACCCCCCAAAAACCCCTACCCACTTAGCAGGAATCCCTGCCCGGTGGGTTTAACTAGAGGAGGATCCGATCCCCGGCCCCTCTTTGCCAGGCGCCGAGTGCGAATCACGGCAGCCCTTCAGTCGACTTTCCCCCTCTCTTGGTCTGCCCGCAGGTCAACTCCTGGAGCGGCTCCTTGGAGATCGGGGTGACGGCCCTGGACCCCAGCCACTTGGACTTCCCCAGCAGCGCCACCGGCCTCAAGGGGGGCTCCTGGATCATCTCGGGCTGCTCCGTCCTGCGCGATGGGCGCTCCATCCTGGAGGAATACGGGCAGGACCTGGATCAGCTGGGGGAAGGCGACCGGGTCGGCATCCAGCGGACGGCCAACGGGGAGCTGCGCCTCTGGGTCAACGGCCAGGACTGCGGCGTGGCGGCCACTGGCATCCCACCCCGGGTCTGGGCGGTGGTCGACTTGTACGGCAAGTGCACCCAGATCACGGTGGTGCCGGGAAACGCGGAGGAAGCAGAAGAGGGGGCCTCCCGCGATGAAGGTACACGCCCCCCCCCCAAAAAAAGTGGAGAATTGTTGGGACGGAGCGTTGAGAAACCAGACAGAATAGAATAGAATTCAGAATAGAATAGAGTTGAGTAGAATAGAATAAGGAATAGAATAGAATTAAGAATAGAATAAGGAATAGAATAGAGTTGAATAGAATAGAATAAAGAATAGAATAAGGA